AGAAATGTATGGAGTATTAAACAATAACTTACAATGGTTTAAAAGTTACCTTTTCAAACAGGAAACAATACATAATTTATACAGAAAATGAAGAAAAAAAAACATATCATAACTTGTGGTGTTCCCCAGGGATCAATCTTAGGGCCCTTATTATTCATACTGTTCATTAATGATTTGTATTTAGCATCCAAAATTCTAAACGTTATTTTGTTTGCTGATGACTCAAATCTTTTTTTACTCTAACAGAAATATTAAAGATCTGTTTTAGAATTTTTAATGAAGAGTTATTAAAAATAAATGAATGGATTACGAATAATAAACTTTCATTAAATGTTGGGAAAACTAAAATTATGTTGTTCCACAAACCTAGTAAAGGTGATAACCTTTTTTTAAAACTACCTGATCTCTTTATGAACAAAAAAGTTATTAAAAGAGAGTCAACTATTAATTTCTAGGAGTGAAATTAGATGAAAATATATCATGGAAATATCATATTAGATCTATTGAAAATAAAATCTCCAAAAATATTTCAATGCTATATAAAGTTAAACCTTTTCTTAATACGGAATCTTTAAAAATTATATATTTCTCATTTATTCATAGTTATCTTTCCAATTGTAATCTTGCATGGGCAAGTACCAATTATGGGAAGCTCAAAAAAATTTATAGCAAACAAAAACATGCTTGTAGGATTGTTTTTGGCGTTAACAGAACTGTTAATGGTGAATCTCTTTTAAAGAAACTTAATGTGCTTAATATTTACAAACTTAATATATACCAAGTTAGGCTATTCACGTTTAAAACAAAACATGCGTTATCTCCTAATATATTTCAGTCTTACTTTACCAAAATATCTCATAAATATCCCACTAAACTTTCGTCTGATAATTTTGTTTTTCCAAGATCTTATTTAAAACTCAATTCATTTCAAATTCAATACCGGGGACCATTTATATGGAAAGGTTTTTTAAAAAATATAATTAAAAATAAAATTCTTCGAGGCATCTCCTTAGAACAATTCAAAAAAGAATCTAAACGTTTTCGATTAGAAAAAACTTTCGATTTTAAAGATTTCTTCTAAAATCACCTAAAATAATTAAACCTGAAAAAGTCATCACTACTCATTTACTATTGTCTTGTGTATCTTGTTTATTTCTTATTAAAATAAAAAATATATATACTATTAATTTTGAACAGACAAATAACATTTATTCGATTTATTACTTGTGTCTTATATTTGTAGAACTAATATTGTATTGTACTTCAATTTTTAACCTTTTAGTTTTTACCTTGTAACTTTGTGACGTTAATTTAAACGGGGCTTGGCGATAAACAGTTTATGTCTTCTTCTTGCTCCGGCCAATTTTTATACATGAATGGTTTTTTCTAATTGTAAATTTAATTATACGGCAAAGAAAAAATAATAATAATAATAATTCAGCAACTGATTAGCATGCAGCAAAGTTTATTTCATTTCATTAAGTGCATTATTTGTATATTCTTTAATTATAGTGCATATTTTAGAATTAAACCTTTAAAAATCAATTAAAGAACTTGTCAAATTATCAAGCATTTTTTTTAACAAATTCTTCATTAAAAAAAAAAATTCTATCAATAAAATATATGCAATTTTATATGTCTTCATTTTATCAGTTCTGTAACTCATTGCATTGAAAAAAGTTCTTCCACTAATTTAATTGGATAAATTTTAATACACCTTTTTGACTTATTTTTTTAACTAACTAAAAAATTGTTTCAGAACATTTTGGATTTAACTAATAAAAAGAAATAGAAATTTTCAAATAAAAAAAGTATTAAAATATATACTCTTCTAAAACTTCAGAAACAAAGACTTGTTTAAAAAGTTGTTTATTTTAAAATGATCTGAAGATGTAAAATTTTCAGTACATAAAAATGTTTAAGGAGGAATAGCTTGGCTTGACCAAGTTTTTTTTTATTATTTACATTTTTTTTTTAGTGTAACGTGTCAGTTTCTGATCTTAAATAGTCAATTTTTGTGATAATCTACATCTCTGTAAAACAGCGAAAGTAAACCAACATCATGATATGATGATCATTATCTAAAATACATATGATCATCATATTAACGTAATGAAATCATCATCGCCATCATCATTATCATGATTATTACCCGGTAGGACAAAGACTCTTTTAAAACCTTTTTTTTTCTAAATTTATCAGATCTTCATTCTCGTTGTTTGAAAACGATCTTGAAGAAACCTTTGCCAGAGGTAATTTTTTTCTTGTTTAGTCATATGTAACATAAAAAATTAAAATGGTAAAAAGTTGCCAGATAAATAATTCAAAATAGAAAACAAACAAAAAAATTTCTACACTACAGAAAAAATACATATTTGAAGAAAATAAACATAAAATAATTGACTAGAGTTATACAAAATTCTTATATTATAATTAATCCAATCATCTATGGAATCTTCACATTTATAAATGGCTTGGTTAATGCAGTGGATCTTATAGGAGCAAAGTCATCCACAAAAATCATTTGTTATCCATTTTACAGAAAAAACAGCGACTGAATTTTCTTTATCAATAAATAAAGAAAGAAATTATATGCTAAATGTCCAAATAATTATATTAAAAAGAATATTTATAGACATAAAACGTTATTACAATTGATTATTTTGTTATATTTGATAATTAAAAAAAAAGTATGTTAATATATATATATATATATATATATATATATATATATATATATATATATATATATATATGTATATATATATATATATATATATATATATATATATATATATATATATATATATATATATATATATATATATATATATATATATATATATATATATATATATATATATATATATATATATATATATATATACTAAACGTTGATTAATATATATATATTATTCAACGTTTAGTTAATGTTCGTTCTAAATGTTTAGATTTATTTTAGTATCGATTTAGAACGTAGGTCAATCGAATGTTCCATTTAAACCATATCTAAATGGTTCGTTTTAAACGCTATTTGTACTTTATCTAAATCTTTTGTTTTAAACTTCGCGACGTTAAACTTTATTTTACAGCGCTTATTTAAAGAAGCATAAATAAATACAAAATATTGATAAACGAATCAAACTTTTCTTTTATTTAAACTGCTTTAAATAAGCACCGTAAAAAAAAGTTAAACGCTGAACGCATTATCTAAATACTCATAAACAAATCAAACATTAAACAAATAATTTTTTTTTATATAAGTCTAAGATACAAGTAAAATCATTTTATTTATTATTATATGCATTATCGTATTCGTCATCATGATCGGCTCCATAATGATCATCGTCATATTTATTTGAACCGATTAAGCCTCTTCGTCTTAAGAATTAGAAAAAAAGACATAACCTTTCCTATTTCCACCTATACGGAAGCGAGCCATTCTAAGATGGAAATTAATGCACGATACCGTATTGCGGATACCAAAGTCATACAATCTCTTTTCTAAAAATAATAAAAATAACTCAATAAACATCTTCATTCTATTCATATAAATCATTCATTTAACAACTTTATAAATACATAGTTTTTAAAACTCTGTAAAATATAACATTTATATAATAAAAACCTTATTAAAAAACTTGCAGTTATCGCAGTTATGGGTTGATAAGTTGCACAACTGCAGGACAACTGCAGTGCCCTTCCTAAACATAGTAATACAATATTATATAGTGTTCTACTACTTTATAACAATATCTGTACAACATATATATATATATATATATATATATATATATATATATATATATATATATATATATATATATATATATATATATATATATATATATATATATATATATATATATATATATATATATATATATATATATATATATATATATATATATATATATATATATATATATATATATATATATATATATAGGAGCAATAGGCACACTCAGTATCCTGTTTAATTGAAACTTTCTATTTAATTGAAAAGTTGTGGAGACACCGACAGTTACCCTAATATTTTCGGAAAAAACGATACGTACTTAAGTGATACTTTTTTTTTTAACGAAATCGGCGATTTTTTTACAGAAAATTGTTTTTTGTTTTGGCAAATATTGTATATTTTAAAGAAAATATCGTTACGTATCGTTTTTTTAAATTTTGTATAATTTCGGTTTATTTGAGTACCAGATTGACATAATTTTTAAAAAACTTTTTTTTTTTAAACTATTAGAGATTATTTATTCCATTAAATATTTGAGGGTCTTGAGGGACTCTTTAAATTATTTTTTATTTAAAAAAAATTTTAACTTAGTGTTTTTGTATTAGATAGAACACATTTAGGGGGGTGAGAGCAGATTATTTTAAAAAAAGTTGTTTTTTTGGGACACCCTAATATATATATATATATATATATATATATATATATATATATATATATATATATATATATATATATATATATATATACATACATATATATATATATATATATATATATATATATATATATATATATATATATATATATATATATATATATATATATATATATATATACATACATATATATATATATATATATATATATATATATATATATATATATATATATATATATATATATATATATATATATATATATATATATATATATATATATATATATATATATATATATATATATATATATATATATATATATATATATATATATATAAAGTATTATTCGCTTTAACAAGCGATTTATTTAATTTTTAGTGCAGTTTTTTCCATAATTAACCATTTCTACTGTAATTGCATTAAAGTAGTAATATTAACTCTGAAGAAATTGAAAAAAAAAAATAATTTAGATTATATTAATGCACAATTATGGATTAATTATATGTTATTATTTTCAGTTTATATATTATTAGTTTCTATATAAACATTAACAAATTAAAATAAAACCTTTAGAAGAGTTGTTTACTTTTGCGCTTATTTGATATCTGCTGATTATCAATGCCTTCTTCAGTTTCTGATATCTAAAACTTTTGCAATCCTCATAACAATCTGTAAAAGGAATAACAAAACATCTTATCCAAAGCAATGATAAATAAATTTTAAAAGTAAATTCTTTAACATTTTGTGAATAAAAATTATAATATCACAAACTAAAATAACAATTCAATAAAATATCAAGTTTTTAGCTCTTCCAACAGACTTGCGATATGACATTTTGCTAAAATGTTAACACTAATTTGCTTGAAGGTACATCAACACATAACATTAACTTGCAACTAAACTTGTTAAAAGCGTTTTAAATAAGTTTAGTCGTCTAGTTTTTTAGCTTTTTTTGCTGACTTTAGTTTGGTTGAATTATATAGTTAGTAGTTACTATATATTTCAACCCGTTAAAACTTCAAGCTTGGTAGATCTTTCATAATATAATAAAATAAATAAAAAAATAATGCTATAAATATTTCAATAGATTTTAGATATAGAGCATAAGATAAAAACTAAACAATTTGAACTCTCTTTTAACTAATTTAAACTTTAAAGACTCGAACCAATCATCAATGTACCTTTTATATATAACAGGAATTACCTTTAATCTTACATTAATTTATAAGCGTTGAACTTTTATAAATAGCTTTTCAGAAGCTTGAGCAATTAGATTATGATTTAAAAGGTACATATCTGACAGATGTTCAACTATTAGAATCATATCTAAAAGTACAGAGTTAGCACTTTATCTCGTGATTACTAAAAGAATAACTATTAGTTTTGAAAATCACTGTAGTTTTTATTTACAGAATGGTCTTTACAGAAATAGCCATTAACTTAATTATTATTTTAGGAAAATCTAAATTTTGAAGGAGTAAAAACGTCACAAAAAATCAACATACCACTTGCATGTGTACTTGGCTGTTTCCTGCTGCTTTAATTGTTGTTGCAACTGACTGGACTGTATATAAAATATTAAATGAAATTAAACACACAAAACATAATTAACAATAAAAAATATATTTATGCGGATTTCAGAAAATTATGTAATATAGCTATATATATTATTGTTCAAACCATGTTAACTTTTCTACTAAAGAGAAAATAAATGATACAATTAAAAGCCTTCAATTATAATTAAAAGCCTTCACTAAAACTGAAGATCCATTATATAAATATTTCAACCTCACAATTTTTAATTGGCACTGACTGCACTAAAAGTATAAATATTATAACATTGCTAATCGATCAATATAACATCTATCATAAACAAATAAATGTTAGATCTTAATATGAACAAAAAATAATAATTTTATTTAGTTATTTAAAAAGTAGTTACGTCTTAAAATGCATAATTTTTCTCTAAAACTTTTAGAGAAAATTTATGCATTTTAAGTAATAACTATTTTAGCGTTGTTTAAAAAATCAAACAGAAAAAACAATTTAAGAAATAGTTTAAAAAAATGCTGACACTGCTACTTTTTTGAAACTACTGCTACTTTTTTGAAACTGCTATTTTAGTAGCTATAACTAAAAAAAAAAATTGTAAAGATACATTGTTACTGTACTTAAAATTACTTTTAATCGCTTATACAATATTATAGAAGAACTTACAGGACTTTTTAACTCCTTCATTAGCCACAATATAATACTAAAAACAAATTTCTTTTATTTTTTCTACCATTCATTACATAATTTAAGATTAATAAGAAACTCTAATTTTTAATTATAATGAAAGATTCAAAATGTCCGACACATTTTGTAAGAAACTAATTTAATTAAGTTAGTTCCGTACGGAAATTGTTTGATTTAGCTTTTCAACGCAAATTAAATATTCAGAACACGTTTAAAATAGATTCCTGAACGTTTAGATCGACGTAAATGCTATCTAAACGTGATCTAAACCAATTTTATACCAACAAATGCCCGTTGCGTATATATATATATATATATATATATATATATATATATATATATATATATATATATATATATATATATATATATATATATATATATATATATATATATATATATATATATATATATATATATATATATATATATATATATATATATATATATATATATATATATATATATATATATATATATATATATATATATATATATATATATATTATGTATGTATGTATATAATTAAAACGAAAAAAGAAAAAAACTTTTATTATGGAACTTTAAGTTTCATGCCTAACGGCAATCATCAGCCATATATTATAAAATTTAAAATTGACGTTAAAATTACAATTAAAATTACGGTGGCGTGAGATCTAATGACTCCATGGAAACAAAACTTTAAGTTTTTAAGAGTATCACGTGGCGTAAAAGTGACGTATACCAATCAGGATCAATCTGCGGTATCATAGGAGGAAATAAGAAATTTCTTTTTGTGCCTACACTTCGACATTATTTCACATATTTTTTTTCATATATATATATATATATATATATATATATATATATATATATATATATATATATATATATATATATATATATATATATATATATATATATATATATATATATATATATATATATAAATATATATATATATATATATATATATATATATATATATATATATATATATATATATATATATATATATATATATATATATATATATATATATATATATATATATATATATATATATATATATATATATATACGGTTTTACGGTGCTTAGCATGAATTGAATTTAAGTTAGGATAATAAGAAAGCTTATGAACGAAACCTGATTTTAACAATGCTTTGTTATTCATGTCAGAAGAATTTTGAAAAGTTTCTTCGCTTGACGAATATGCAGATAATCTTAACTCAATAGAACGCGGAAGTTGTATTAAAATAACGTGAATATAGTTAAAACAGTTTCCGGGTTCGGAATACGGTTGGAAAGTGCTGTTATTGATACTTAGCATGACGTCTAGATAATTTACAATTTTTATGTTTTACTGTGTTGATATAAGAAAATCATTCTTTTTAAATATATCAACAATATGTTTTTTAATTTTTTCCATTTCAAGGCCACTTCTATTTTCAAAAACCGCTAAACCATCATCCGGGTATAATCCAAATTCATTTTTAATCTAAAATAGCGAAATCTGAAACAAAAAAAGTCTTGATTCTTGAAAACTTTGTGATTCTGCAATATAAGCTTACCTTTTTTACTTGTATCATTTTTAATCTTTGAGTTTGATATTTTGTACTTTGAGGTTATTGCATTGGTTAAAAAAAGATTATAGCTTTCTTTAGATAAGATATATAAATTAGTATTTTTATCGGCAAAGTATAAGTGAGATTATAATTGCGTATATTAGATATGTTATCTTTTAATTTTCTTTGGAAACTGATATAAACATTACAAAACCTAATATTTCTTAACATTTCTATTAGATTACTTTCAAATGCGGACATATCGGTAGTTTGTTTACGGTAATTTATTTGTTTTTTTACTATTATAAAAAATACTGCTCTTACTTTTTTGATCGTTATAAGTAAAAAAAATGCTTTCCACTCATTCTTTTTACTAATGCTTTGGTCTTTTCAATTTTCAGCATACGGAGCTTAATATTGTTGCAAGTTTTTTTTGTACCAAAAAGAGATACAAAGCCTCTGGTACGATTTTTTAGAGTCATCAATATAATGTAAATTAGTTATTTACAAAACAGATCATCAATTATATATAAAAATTTAACTAATTAAAAAAATACAATTTTATAATGGAACTTAAAGCTTCATGCCTTTTCGGTAATCATCAGCTTTATATATATATATATATATATTTTAATCAAAAAAAACATTTAAAATACAAAATACAAAAACAAAAATAGAATGGTTTCTGACGTCAAATCAAAACAAAAAGTAACGTAGAAACTAGATTAATCAACGGTATTGAAGTTTGCCAGAAAAAATTTGTTTCTATGGCTGCATTTATATATTATTTAAAACCTTCTATTTAATAAGTTTGGATTTCTAGAGAATAGAATTTCATATTTCTCATTTAAGCATAAATTACAATATTTTTTTTGTAGGGTTAAAATCATTAGACTGTTTAATTATTTTCCATTAAGCTATAAGAATTATTATTTTTTATTTTTATTTTTGTTGTTATTTAGGAGCCCTAAGAAGACCTTACGGCCTTGTCACAGAGCACCGTGGAAGTTTATTTAACCAGGAAGATCATGCCTCCTTCCTTTCCGTGACGCAAAAATATGTCCAAGGCTCGTTTGGAACCTGGATCTCCTGCTTATAAAGCAAGCGCTCAAAGCACTGCGCCGGGACCGCACTAGTTTTTTTTTTTCAATTTATTATTTAGGTGCATCAAGAAGACCTAACGGTTTTGTCACAGAGCACCGCAGATGTGCATTTAACCAGGAAGCTCACGCCTCCTTCTTTACCGTGAGGCGAAATATGTCCAAAGCTCGTTTCGAACCTGGATCTCCTGCTTAAAAAGCAAGTGTTCAAACCACTGCGCGAGAGCCGCATAAATTCAAATTGGCTTCTTTTAATTTCCAAAACTCCTTTGATAACTCAGTGTCATTTTATACCTGATAATATTAAATAACTCTATGTGATTAGCTTATCTTGTTTATTGTTTCAGTTATACCGATGTAAAATTTGTTTATAGAAGTTTGGGCAGAATCATTGGAGGTTAATCATTTAATATCATTCAATATCATTTAATATTATTAGGTATAAAAGAGACACTGAGTTATCAAAGGAGTTTTAGAATTTATAGGAAGCTAATTTGAATCCTATAGTTGATTGGAAAATAATTAAGCAGTCCAATGTTTTTAACCCTACGAAAAAATATTGTAATTTATACCTTAACGAGAAATATGAAATTCGATTTTCTAGAAATTTAAACTTATTAATTAAAAAGAGTGAAATAAGATCGAAGTGCAGGTATAGAAAGAAGCTTGTTCTGGCTAATTTCAATACTGGTTATTAATCTAGTTTCTATGTTCCTTTTCGTTTTATTTTGACGTCAGAACCATATATATGTATATATATATATATATATATATATATATATATATATATATATATATATATATATATATATATATATATATATATATATATATATATATACATACATATATATATATATATATATATATATATATATATATATGTATATATATATATATATATATATATATATATATATATATATATATATATATATATATATATATATATACATATATATATATATATATATATATATATATATATATATATATATATATATATATATATATATATATATATATAATATATATATATATATATATATATATATATATATATATATATATATATATATATATTTTATATATATATATATATATTTATATATATATATTATATATATATATATATATATACATATATATATATATATATATATATATATATATATATATATATATATATATATATATTTATATATATATATATTTATATATATATATATATATATATATATATATATATATATATATATATATATATATATATATATATATATATATATATATATATATTTATAAAATATATATATATATATATATATATATATATATATATATATATATATATATATATATATATATATATATATATATATATATATATATATATATATATATATATATATATATATATATATATATATATATATATGTTTATATATCAAGGATTACTAACATTTGCCAAACGCCTAAAAAGACTCTTTGATGATAAACCAAATTCATAAAATGTTACCATTATAGATAGAATGTTTATAAGTCTTTTTCTACAACATGCTCTGTGCTTTGTTTTTTTCACAAAGTATAAATCAATTCTAACTAGCTGATAAGTAACTGTCTATTAGCCCATTGAAACTTCTTCAATAAAGTCTTTAGCTTCATTTGTTAGTTCAGGTTCATCATCTGGATAAACTAGTTCATCTTCATATTTTTTCTCAAGCCACCCTGCTATATAGGCAGCAGAGCTCTCTTCAGTTTCAGAAAGACTCACATCATAAATGCATGTTTCAATTGAGGTTACACCTTCAATACTAATTGGACACTCACATATGTGACCTTTTTTATTGGGTTGTCCTACTTCCACTGATTCTAAAAATGATGCAGCAAATCTAGCTTAACGCTTTTTAAAAGCAGAGAAAACATCACCAGCTGCCATAAAAGCATTTGCCCCTGGTGATTGTCTATAAACAGAAAATTCTCCTTCTATTCTATCACTTTGTAGCTCACGAAGCAAAACATAATCAAAACCAACTAAAAACAAATGTTTGCAGAGAGCTTCCAATCTTTCAGTAGTTTGCACAAGGGCGTTTTTGGTATCATGGGTAACACACTTAACTCGTTTAGGCCCATATCCTGATTCCATACATTTAAATATGCCTAAAAACAATTGAAGATTATTTGAATTTTTATTTTGCACAGATCGGTTGTGATCTCTGAACCTAACATCCTGCCCTTTTGCAGAAACATTAACAATATTCCACCAATCTAAAATCTGCTGGATAAAAGAGGATGTTTCATAAGCTCCTTTTAGTTTAAGGGAAGCTACTACTTTCTCATTAAACACTCCTAAAACATGCTGCACATTCTGTAGTTGAAGTCTCGAAGGATAGACAGCAG